CAATCGAGATGGAGTTAGCCTCATATCGGATATTGTCCTTCAAGCCAAGCATCAACCTACAGGAGCTCACGCACAACCTGGACTTGGCAGAGGAACGGCGTGAGGATGCCCGACTCTGCCTCGTTGCTTCCTAAGACCGAGTTGCAAGATACTATAACTCCAAGGTGAAGCAGGGTCCGCTCCAAGTGGGTGATTGGGTTCTAAGGAGAAACTTCCGCTCTGATCCCCGCCAGGGAAAGTTCACTTCCAAGTGGGAAGGACCGTATAAGGTGAGGGAAGTTGTCGGCCCCAACACCGTTAAACTGGAGGACATTGAAGGCAGTGATATGTCAAAAACTTGGAACTCCATACACCTACGACGCTACTTCACCCCAATGTAATAATGTATCCCGAAATAAAGTCTAGTGTATGATGAAATAAAAGGGTGCTTCAGTGCACTTCTTAACTAGTTCCATGGTAGTTTATAACAAAACCAACGAGAAATAAAAGATACATAAGAAGAATAAGAAAATGTCATATCTCAACCTACTCAAACCCAGGAGGACGAGGGGGGAAATCATGAGGGGTAGATGGGAGACCCGAGAAATGAATAGCTGGCAGGTCTAGACGCTCCAAGTCCTCCACCCCCACACCGGTCGAGCCTACAAGATTGCTAATCTGTCTCCCAAAGGATCCAGAGAACCCAAAGAATGGGTCACGGGGTCGAGAGCTCTCCTAACCGAGCTCGCTCCACCTGAAACACCCGCTCCGCCCGAAATGCCTGCTCCACCCGAAGCTCCCGCTCCACCTGAAGCAACGGTCATCGTCGCCATCATATCCGCCCGTCGTGTGACCTCAGCTCTAAGGAAGTCCTCATCCAAGTGGATCGTCGGGTATTAGTGACGAAGAACGTCCATAGCTAACTGAAAGAACTGAGTAGCTGCTGTAGACATGAACTCCCTATGTCGTGCCGCCTGACGCTCCAGCTGACTAGAATGGGCCCTCTCCCGAGCAATAATCTCCCTGGACTCCCCAACTGCTGCCTGTTGCTGACCCAAGAAAAACCTCACCTCAGCTAAAGCGGCTTGATCTTTCTCACGACCGCTCATCTCTTGCTCCAATTGACGACGCAGATTCACCAGCTGAGACTCTAGCTCCTGAACATAGGCATCCCTAACTCGAAGCCTCTACTCCGCTAATATGCGCCCGGCCCTATCAGTAGCCTCACGTGTTGTCCGAGCCTTTAAAGTTCGTGAAGAGGCCACCACCTGCAGCAACTACAAGCAAGAAAGAAGTAAATACCAACAAAGAGAAACATGACAAAATTGGGTTGTCTAGAGTGATACCTGCATGGCAGACGCCACGATAGAAGCATCCATATCATCCCTGCTCTCCATCACGTCCCTTCCCCATCCTGTCTAAATCTCCTCGAAAGCCCTTGAAGGATTCGCCCGGGCGGACATGAAGAATGACCCTAATGATGGACGACCTCCGTCTGAACCACCCGTAGGTCTCGTGGGTTCCGGACCTAGAGATCCAGTTCCTGCTGGTGATGAAAGCACCATGGTGTGAGACTGAACTGGCCCCACCATGCTACCCGAGCGACTAGCATCTACACTAGGCGCATCCCCCATAAACTCTCCACGCAGTATCCCCATGCTACCCCCTGTTGGCTCATAAATGAGCAATCTACCGTAACCTCGAGATGCCTCCTCCTCTGACTCCAGGACAATTCTCCTCTTTTGACGGTTCCCCTGGTCTCCCATAGATGAGTCACCCTGAACACGAGAAAGAGAACCCTCTCGGGTAGTCGGGTAAGTCTCCGACGAGTCGCCCATGGATTCGTTCTCTCACCAGCCGCTACTCTCGGAGAACGCCTCTCCTTCTTCAGGATCCACTGGAGCTCCATATCTGCCCAGAAGAGGTTCATATGTAAAAGTGAATTGAAACGAGATAAAAATAGTATAAAAAGACATCGCCATGGTTCATTATATGTTTCTCCTACCAGAACCGTATACATCATCAATCAGAGTAGCCACCGACGCAGCCGTGTGAGCCTGAACAAAACAAGTCTCAAAGACTCGGGTCGCCATTATGCCAAGCTCCCCCTGAAGCAAGGGCTTCGACGCATCCTTATTAACAGCACTCCTCCCGTCGGGGATGCTAGCCCTCCCACGAACTAAGCCTCCTGGAGGTGGGTGGAAGAAGAAAAACCTATCACGCCATGCTCCATCACCACCATAAATCTCACTAACCATGACAGGCACCTTAGGTCTATGTGCTAGGCGCCAGCCACCACTAAACGACTGCAGCTGGAAGCAGCAACGAAATAAATATGAAGAGGGCCACACACTAGCAGCCCAACAGCGGGAGATGAACACCGCAACATGAAGCCAGAAGGTAGGAACCATGGAGCTAGTGGAAATGTTCCACTCCTCCATCACCTCACCAAGCCACTCGGGGAGGGGTGGACGAAAACCATACACTAGTGACTGGTAGTGCAGGGCGTACCATCCTGGACCTCCATTAGAGATCGTGGACCCCACTGTTGGGATAGCAAACTCCCAGCCCAGACTAAGAATGAAACTCGAAAAAGCATTGCGCAAGCAAAACATCTCACTTGCCACAAATGACGGATCAACCCGGGTCACTAGGACCACTGGAGCGGTCCCCTGGGGATACGTCTCTGCCAATAGGCAGATGTGAATCCCCTGTGTATCGCTAACCTGTGAGGTATGATGGATGTCCTCTGGAGTGGCAACATCAGCTCTCACGATCCTCCTGTTAGTTGCAGAAGCCTCCCCTCCTCCCTCTGCATCTCTCTCCTCAACCACCTTCTCGATCATTCCTTCGACAACCACCCCACTAGCCTCAACCGCAATCCCTGCTCGGCTGGTCACTTCTGCCTCCTCAACATGATATGTCTCCCTCATATCACAAGCATAATCCATTGACTTCGTAGTAATCACTGGCGTATCAGAAAAATATGCCTATCTCACTAACTATGATGATCTAAACTAGATTTTTTGTACCGGCGTGTGAGGAAAATGAGAAGGCGAGTGGAAGACATACCTTATACAATGGGATGCGACGAAACGCCCCTTCACCTCCCGCTTCAAAATGACACTGCCACCCGGTATGGTGGAAAAGGATGGGTTCAAGGAAGAATGTCAGAGCTTGAAGTGGGCAAAGGAGTGGGGAAAGAGTGGAGGGGAATGGGGCAGAGGAATGGGAGAAGTGAAGGATGGGGAGGAGGTGGGAAAAGTGAGGGATGGAGAAGAGGTGGGAGTAATGGCTTTATATAGCCACACTAGTCCACCTTCCAACACCTCAACACTTGTGACGTAATAAATACGGCACAAATTTCCCGGTGGTCAACTCTCAATATTCGTGAGACATTAACCCGACACAATTTCCACCAAGTCAAACACCATAACCATTAATATGGTGAAGAACACATTAATCATCTCATCTTCCTCCACTAGCTTTGATAAACCTTTACCCTCCTCCTCGAGGTAACGGTGTCAACAATGATCTCTGCTCGAGATACCGAGCCTTCGCGCGTGATACCGATCCACGAATTGGCTCGGACTCCATCAGATAAGGAAAAGTGTCAATAAAACACGGACCCCCATTAAACCGTTGGCCTAACAAATGGCAAAAGTGATAGAATTGCCGATGGGAAATTTGGATAAAATTGAAATTCCCACCGGCAAGGGGGGCAACTGGTGGACCCTAAGAAAATTTTATTTTATTGGACGGAAACAACCCCACCTTGGGTCACCTAGCCCACCCCGGGGTCACTCCGGCCACCCCGGGGTCAAATACCTTACATTGGGTCACCTTGGGGTCACTTCCGCCACCCGGTGTCAAATACCTTGGGTCACCCTGGGGTCACTCCGGCCACCCGGGGTCAAATACCTTGGGTCACCTTGGGGTCACTCCGGCCACCCGGGGTTAAATACCCGGGGTCAAATACCTTGGGTCACCTTGGGGTCACTCCGGTCACCTCGGGGTCAAATACCTTGGGTCACCTAGCCAACCCCGGGGTCACTCCGGTCACCCGGGTCAAATACCTTGGGTCACCTTGGGGTCACTCCGGTCACCCGGGGTCAAATACCTTGGGTCACCTTGGGGTCACTCCGGCTACCCGGGGTCAAATACCTTGGGTCACCCTGGGGTCACTCCGGCCACCAGGGGTCAAATACCTTGGGTCACCTTGGGGTCACTCCGGCTACCTCGGGGTCAAATACCTTGGGTCACCTAGCCCACCCCGAGGTCACTCCGGTCACCCGGGTCAAATACCTTGGGTCACTTTGGGATCACTCCGGCCACCCCGGGGTCAAATACCTTGGGTCACCTTGGGGTCACTCAGGCCACCCCGGGGTCAAATACCTTGGGTCACCTTTGGGTCGTTCCGGCCACCCCGGGGTCAAATACCCTAGGTCACCCCGGCTACCTTGGGCTCTCCGCCCACCCCAGGTCACCTCAACCTTTAGCCACGTACCCCCGCAACGTGTCCACCCACCAAACCACCTAGCTCTAGAAGGAGACACGTACTCCCTTCATGTTCGCCTGGGAGCCTCTATAAAAGGCCACTTCGTCTCCAGATTGAGGTAACCAAAAATTCCCCATGCCTAGACTCGTGAACTCGCGCTATGATTAGCGCAAATATTCATTCTTAATTCCATTCCCTCATCTTTCTTTTCGAGATCATATTCCTCTCCACTCAGCACCCTCACTAACTTGAGCGTCGGAGAGTGTCCCCGCCGAAATCGGCCGACAAACCCTTTTTGCAGGAGACGACCGGAGCTAACATTACGAGTGAAGTTCGAGGTGAAAGGTGGCCGTCGACCGACTCTGGTGCCCATCATAAAAAATTCGACGTCGGCTACAACTCCGGCATCAACAGGTACATTAAATTCACTTATTTTGATGAGTACACCGAAGTAGTCACCGGCATTTACCCAATGAAAATGGATGAAATATGAAAGTGAAGTTTGTCATGGGCACGATGGAGATCTTGAGTATCAAACAACCTACCGACGCGTGAAAAGGGCGCGTGACTAACCAACGACGACAAATTGCTGCACCAAGCTAGCGTTGATTTCTCCTCTCTGGAGGTTCCGGCAACTTCAAAGTAGGCTGCCAATTAACCAACAACTACGTCTGCTGCTTTCTCTTCCCGCCCCCTCTGTGCATTTTCGATTCCGGAGAAACGCCCTCCGCCGGTGCATATCACAGTACGCATCAGTTATTTCGCATCGCCGGTTTAGAATAAGTCTCCACAGCTTCTCAGGACAGCAACCCCCTGCGAGCGAATCAAATGCGATCTCTGAATCACCACCGCCCAATCATCCGACCCGGTCGCTCTCGCCGGCGGAGTCACTCTTCTACTCTCGACGCAGCATCATCGCTGCCCTTCTATTCCCGTCCGTCTTATAATCCCCAGGTGCTGCTGCACTCTTCTGTAACATTCCCGCTTCACTGCTGTTTGCCCCGTTTCGTCAATTCGCTTATGAATTGCTTTCGTTTCTGCAGTTGAAAGCATTGCGGGTTAACCGAAATGGAATTCGGTTGCATGATAGAGCTGTTCAAACTAGAGCGTTTGATGTGGTAGGTGTTGGAAGATTAGCTTCTTCTAGTCAATTTTTGCTTCATCTATTGATGGGAGGCTGATGGGTCTTGGTTGTTGCTGTAGGATTCGTTCTTTATGTCCCCTGTCGATGATTGGGGTGACAATGAGGATTTTCCTGTTGACTACGTGTTCTCATCCAGTGATGCCGATAGCAGCGATGGGGAATTCGTGCTGAGTCCTTTGACTGATATGGATTTACCTACTTCTAAGGTGTCGACTAACGATGCTGTTACAGTAACAGCTCACCGCCTAGGATTGATTGGGAGGGGTCACAGAAGACATAGGTTAGTAGTTCTCAGTGTTCTTCACCCTTTGATGCATCACTTGCAGACTGTTGAGCCTCCTGAAATGATGCTGTTTGTTACTACTTCCTTGCAGAATCAATTACGGGATTTGGAACAATTTTGGGTTGATAACCTTCTTGACGGTGCTGCTTCTGTTTATTGACTGGCGTGCCTGGAAGATTGTAAGGGTACCCCTGCCATCATTATACTTATCTCGGCCCTTTTTCTTATCAGCAGCTTTAGTCGCATGTGCGGGCTACATTTGTGCCCCATTGCTTGACGCTTTGATGATTCACGAGACTGTCAGGAGAGTAGGGCATTTTATGTATTCCAGGAAGAGGGCAACACCTACAATGGGTGGTCTGTTTACAGTTCCTATCGGTGTAGGTGTCTCTTTCTTCTTTGTTGGTTTTACTTGTGTCGAAGTTTCTGCTGCAGCATTAGCAACTATTGCATTTGGTGCCATCGGTTTTCTTGATGACATTGTAAGGATCATCAACCAACATCACTATGGCCTGTCTATGTGGACAAAAGTTCTTTTGGAGGTAAAACTTATGACCTTGAATGTGCTTTGTTTCTTTCTTTTTGAGTTAGCAACTGTGTCAAACCCCTTTTCACTTTTTGTAGGTGGCTTCAGGGACTGGTTTTGCAGTTTGGCTAAGCACGGCAAACATATCGTCACCTTACAGCATGTATACATTCTTGAAACTATTCTGATCAACATTTGTCTGATGATGGTAACTCACATATCTTTTTCTTGGGATGAGCGTGTATGGTAGAATGCCAAGCTGACTGCTACCTTAACTAGTATCGCAGTGTAACTGTCAGAGTTGTTTGTATAGAGTAGGACACTATCCCACTTTTCTCTTACATGCTTTCTTAGTAACGCGGAATAATAACGAAAATGCTACACCATATGACTTGTAGATGTGAATGTCGAAGAACTAAAATAAGCACTTGGAATTACCATCTTCATTCTTCACCTGTGCTGTCTGACACATTATATGCTGCAGGAAAATGTTGGTTCCTCTACCCGCTCCGCTGGGCCTTGTTTGCTTGGGGAAATTTTATTTGGTGCTGACTTCTCTATGCTTTGTCTCCATGGGACGTGGGATTGACCTAACAGATGGTCTTGATGGGCTAACTGCTGGAACTGCTGCATCGGCTTTTACAGGAATGGCAGTTGCAGTGATACCGATATGTCCTGGTTAGTAACTTTGTATTGGTGAAAAAATGACAGGGTTGGGATGGCATAGTGGTATCTTGTCTGTATATTAAGAACCCAGTATGCTTTACGAAAATATTTCTGTGTTCCGTTTTGCTTTCGTATTTCTTTGTCTTATCTTAAATGCCCCTTCATTATCGAGAGCAAGATTTAAAATGGAAGAAGGATAGATTTTTTTGCTGAATGAACCCTGCCTTGCCGTGGGATTCTCCCATCTTCTATACACTTGCTAACTACAGTGTTACATTCCAAACCAGAACTTGGCATATTTGGAGCATCAATGGCAGGTGCCTGTGTTGGTTTTCTGCTGCACAACCGGTACAAGGCATCGGTCCTGCTGGGAGACACGGGATCTTTGGCCTTAGGAGGAGCATTAGCTGCAATGGCTGCTTGTACTGGGATGTTCTTTCCATTGTTTCTTTCATCTGGAATCTTCCTTTTAGAAGCACTCTCAGTTGGAATGCAGGTCATTTGTGGATTTAGCTATAATGTAAAACTTGTTTTACATGTCTCATCTTTGCAAAGATGTAGCAGAAAGATTCTAACTTCGTATTTGGTTTTAGGTTGTCAACTTGAAGACAAGGAAAGGGCTGAAGGCAGGAATAGAGCGGTATGCGACGTGCATCGCACCTCTCCATCGGCACCTCCAATTATGGGGAGTGAAGGAACCCGTCATTGTTGCTGGTGCATATGTTATATCAAGCTTCTTGGCCTTGACCGGAGGATATGTTGCTCTAATCTCAGCTTAGCTTCTCTTTCTATTTCTACTAATGATCACTAGGTTTGTCCTTTTCCATAGCTTGGTGATTCTGACTACGAAAACCACTATACATGTGTTCAGAGACCACAGTAGAATAGAAGATAGACGATAGTCAATTCATGTAACCCATTGATTGCAACCTAAGGTTTTGAGAAGGGTACGAAAGCTGGTATTTTTAGTTACGGTACTATTCAATCAATAAATGTCACTGTTTTCTGCGAGTATTGCATATATCTCAAATGCGTGCTCGATAATGTTGGTACTGTTGGGCCAAATATTGGGGCGTTTGGGCTCCAGGCCCATAGTAGCCTAAGACCCATCGTTGGGCCAAATAGTGAGACACTTGGGCTTCAAGCCCACAGTGGCTCAGAGTCCGTAAAGAAGCTAGTCGGGCCCGAGTAGGGGCAACGAGCCACCAAAACCCAACAAAGGCGGTCTTTTCCCTCGATACAGCGAGAACCGCCCGACATGGAGACACGTGGATGCTTGGTCCCGATCCTATCGGTACGGAGCCTGACACAAAGGCAAACGGAAACCTGGCTTTGACCTGATCTGTACAGAGCCTGAAAAAGGTACAGAGTGGCCAGAACTGTCGTGGGCGTCCCAGGACGCCCGACAAGCCATTAAATGCCCATGATCCGCTTAGCACTAGTATAAATACTCAATTGCGAACCACATTGAGGGTAACTTCAACCAACTCCATTCTCTCTCTTATTTTCTCATACTTCACTTCTCTCTCTAACTTAAGCATCGGAGGAGGTCCAAGGAACCCCCTGAGGACCTTTCTGCAGGGTTTCGGAGACCGCCCTCGACCATCGAAGCCGCCCAAGGCCAGTGGAGTCTCACAAACAGCTTGGTACATTCCAGGCACAAACATTTTGGCGCCCACCGTGGGGCCCTACTACTTTGTGGCGAACGAGATGGGAGACGACTTCGAAACCCCCCTCAAGGGGATGACCGAAAACAACACCCTCTGAGGCTTATCACCGAGGGTCGAAGATGAACCCGAGTTGGAAGAAGTGGTCAAGAATCAAGGGATGCAAATCGCAAGCATGCAAGACAGCCTTTCCCAAATTCTTCAGCTCCTGAAGACCCGAGATGACCCCGCCGAGGGCTCGAAGGGAAAGACGCGTGACGAAAGGATGAAGGGCGCTCTCATCCTCGACAGCCCTGCTCGGACAGAAGGTGGAGGACCAGAGGCCGACGACCCGGACCTCAATTTTCTAGAGGAGCATCTGCGGTCAACCTTCGGGAAGCACAAGAGCCCGAACGTTCTACAAAACCCTCTATCGAGGGAACTCTTCAAAACTCCGGTCCCCCCAAACTTCTCCTCTGTGGGACTACCAACCTACGGTGGGACATCCTATCCCGCCGACCATCTTTGCGCGTTCATGTTAAAAATGCAACTCATCAACGCAACGGACTCGGATCTGTGTCGGGCGTTCCCGGTTACCTTCAGTGGTCAATGCCGAACCTGGTATACCTCCCTACCAGAGGGGATTATAGAAAACTTTGAGCAGTTTGCGATGCTCTTCTCCACCAAATTCGCGTCTCAACGACGCCGCAAACTCACCGTCTCGGCGCTCATAGGTTGCCGGCAGAGGAAGGAAGAGTCGCTTGCTGAGTTCTACGACCGATGGAACGCGATAGCTTGCGAAATAGACGGTATCTCCCCCGTCATGGCCGCCGGGAACCTCCGAATCTCGACAACTAGTCTTGAGCTGAAAAGAACGTTGATAAAAAAGGAGGCGACCCTGGCGGCCTGGTCTGACTTAGACCAATTGGTGCGACGAGCGATCTTATTGGAGGAGGCGCTATCCAACGACGACCGAGGCCAGCAAGGCCGCCCCCGAGGGGACGCCTCAGAGCGTGGAGACTCCCGAAGGGGAAGGTGGTCCCCAGACCGAAGGTCGTACCGAAACAAGTACACCGATAGGGAAGGAAGAAGAGACGTCATTTCCACCGACAGGGAAAAAGGAAGGGATCGAAGGAAGGGCGGAAGGAAGCACGAGGCGTCTTCCGCCCAAGAACCGCAGGAAGGAAAAAAGTGGTGCGATTGGCACCAAATCACGACCCATGACACCACAGAGTGTAGAGAGTTCAGGGCCACGCTCCGACATCTGGGCGCCAGGAGACTTGAGAAGCAAGCTAGAGACGAGGCGGTCCCATAGAGAGCACTCGGCGGAAGAGCGGGAGGAATCCCCGAGTCCTGAGCAGGACAAGACAAGACGTACAAGAAAGGAAAGGTCAAGATCTCGCTCTCGAAACAAGGTCACCTCCCCGCTGAGGCAGTCCCCTCCATACAAAGCACCCCGAAATGATGATGATGGGATGGAAGTAATAACGATCGCAGGAGGGCGGAAGCGCCCGAGAACGGAAGGAGACCGCATTGCTCAATGTTTCAACGTACAGCGGAAGGCACCAACAGAGGTGGCCTTCCTGCCCTCTGAGTTGGCCAGCGAAGAGAACTCAGAAGACCCCTTGGTCATTTCCTTTCGAACCGCCAAGTTCAAAGTCACCAGAGCCCTTGTCGACAATGGGAGCTCGGCGGATATATTGTTCTACTCAGCGCTCAAAGGAATGAAAAAGAGCGTCCAAGACCTCAGCCCTTCCAACACCAGCTTGGTAGGGTTCTCCGGCACCAAAGTCCGTGTCCTCGGCTCAATCACGCTCAAAGTCACCATAGGAGAAGGAGGAATCACAAAGACCAGACCCGTAGAGTTTCACGTGGCGGATTGTCCTTGGGCATATAACGCCATTCTCGGACGTGGTTTCCTAGCTTCGTTCGAGGCGGTCGCATCCACATGCCACCAGATGCTCAAGTTCCCAAGCGGAGGGCAAACTGGGCGTGTTCGGGGTAACCTAAAGGAGGCTAAAGAATGCTACCAAGCCACCATCGAACACCTCGAAGTTGATCTGGTCGACACAAGGGGTGATGTCCGGAGACCGGAAGCGGTCGAAGGCGATGTGGCGGTCGCCCTCGACGCAGAGCGGCCAGAGAGGACGGTGCGTATCTCTGCGCACCTTGCCCAAGAGGAAGCTCAGAAACTACTCTCGCTCCTCAAAGAGTTTCAAGACCTCTTCGCATGGGGACCGGAGGACATGCCAGGGGTTCCTTGAAAGGTCTCCGAGCACCGCCTCTCAGTCAAAGCCAAAGCGCGCCCCATACAACAGCGAAGGAGGCACCTGTCAGTCGAAAAACAAATGGCACTGGAGGAGGAGGTGCGCCGCCTCCTCAAAGCCGGATTCATCAGAGAGGTCAAATACCCTACTTGGCTCTCAAATCCGGTCTTTGTACGCAAGGCTGGAGGCGCTTGGAGAATGTGCATCGACTTCACTAGCCTCAATGCGGCCTGTCCCAAGGACGCATACCCTCTTCCCCGTATTGACCAGCTCATAGACGGGACCGCCAACCATGAAGCTCTCAGCTTCCTGGATATGTTCTCCGGATACCACCAGATCAGAATGGCGGACGAGGATCAAGAGCTCACTGCTTTCATGACGCCTATGGGCAACTTCTGCTACGTAGTCATGCCCTTCGGACTAAAGAACGCGGGGGCGACCTATCAGCGGATGGTGGATGCGGTCTTTAAGGAGCAAATGGGAAGGAACGTTGAGGCCTACGTTGACGACGTACTGGTCAAAAGTAAGAAGGCAAGCGACCACCTGTCCGACCTGAGGGAAACCTTCGAAACACTGAGGAAGAAGAATCTAAGGCTCAACCCGCTCAAGTGTGTCTTCGGCGCCGAGGCGGGAAAATTCCTAGCGTTCATGATCACAAAACGAGGGATAGAAGCCAACCCAAAGCAAATCGAGGCTATACGCGCCTTGAAGCCGCCAAAGACCATCAAAGAAATCCAAGCGTTCAACGGAAAGATGGCCGCTCTCGGAAGATTCATCCAGCGGTCCGCCGACAAATGCTCTCCTTTCTTCCAAATGCTGAAGAAATCGGCATCAAGGCTCCAATGGGGTGCAGAGTGCGACAAAGCCTTTCGGCTGCTGACAGACCAGCTCAGTCAACCGCCAGTTTTGAGCGCCCCCATCAGTGGAGAGCGGCTCTACCTATACCTAGCGGTCTCCGAACAAGCTGTGAGTTCTGTCCTAGTGAGGAGAGCACAAGACGCCTCCGACCGACCTGTTTACTACGTGAGCAAGGCACTTCTTCCCGCCGAGACAAGGTATTTGCCAGTCGAAAAGGCGGTTCTCGCAGTCGCCTCAGCGGCAAGAAAGTTACGACCATACTTCCAAGAGCACCCGATCACGGTGCTATCCCACCTTCCGCTCAAGAGCATTATGAGGGGCATGGACGCATCAGGTCGGCTGACCAAGTGGGCAATCGAGCTGAGCGAATATGACATCGAGTATGCCCCTAGGCCCTCCATTAAGGGGCAAGTCCCGGCTGATTTCATCGCTGAAGGTTTCACCCTCGAAACCACGCCCTCCGAGGAGCACAATCGAATATGGCGTCTGTTCATAGACGGCGCTGCTGGAAAAACCGCCTCCGGGGCAGGGATCGTCATCGAGTCTCTCGAGGGGGTGGTACATGAAATCTCGCTGAGGTTCAAGGAGATCAAGACCAACAATGTCGCTGAATACGAGGCACTAATCAATGGGCTTCGGATATTGTCCACCCTAGGGGCAACGGACGTGCAAATATTCTCCGACTCCCTCCTGGTCGTCAAACAGGTTCTAGAGGCGTTCGAGATTAAAGATGAGACGCTAGCGGCATTAGCTACCAAGGTGCGAGACGCCCTGTCTCAGCTGAGTTCGTGGAAACTAGAGCATGTCCGGAGAGAAGACAATCAACATGCGGACGCGCTTTCCAAGCTCGCAACCGCTATGGATTTCGAAGGCGACCGGCATATCACCGTCACCAAAGAAAGTGAATCCACAGAAGAAGTCATGAGCATCGAAGAGGCCGCTGACTGGAGAGCCCCCATGATCCAATACCTGGAACGCGACGTCACTCCACAAAACCCGGTGGAACGG